GGCTTTCTGGGGTTTTGATACAAGTTATCTTATTGGTGTCTTGTTCATCAAACTTATATTCCATACTACAACTATGTGCTGTAGGTTTTAGACTGGATAGTCATTGCCTTTTGGTTTTTAAACTAGCCAATTTTTAAAAAAGATTTTATTTATTTATTTGAGAGAGAGAGAGAATGAGCAGTGGGGAGGGGCAGGGAGAGAGAGAGAAACAGCTCCCAACTGAGCAGGAAGCCTGATGTGGGGCTTGATCCTAGGACCCAGAGATCATGATCTGAGCCAAAGGCAGACGCTTAACTGATTGAACCACCCAGGCACCCAAACTAAACAATTTTTATAACCAAAATCTTGTGGACTCTTCACTCATCTTCATTTCTTTCCCATAATTTTCATTTTTTTCAATAAGTATATTGAGGTACAGAAGAATTTGATAAATCGCTTAGGATTAACCAGTTGACATTGGTTGGAAAATGGCAGAACTTAGATGTAAATTCAAGTCTTTCTGATATCAGTGCCATGTCATTTTATCATAATATCTACCTTTCGGCTCAATTTATTCATTTTATTTTTCCAAATAGTTTGTTAGTGGATACATTTTGCCTGTGGTTGTGGGTCTATGTAAAAACCTGTCAGCAAGCTGCATAAAGCTATGGAAGGAAAGTCACCAAGAGGACAAGTGGGAGAGAAGCCACCTTCCTGTCAGTGCACATTGTCTCCTCTTAAAGGAGATAAATTTGAAAAAAAAAAAAAAGAGAGAAAGGAGAGAAATTTACCCTCTGTGACCCTGAAGTACTCCATACTAAGTATGAATTTTAAAAAAAAGAGGAAAAAAAGAGACGTCAGGAACATAATTTTTCTAACTTTGAGAAAACTAAAAACCTCCCAAGATATTGATGGATCAGGTGATACATTCTAAACTAATAGTTTATTTTTAAATGTTTTGGAAATCCAAATTCATCATCCAAATTTTATTTAAAGTCTTCTGCCTCTTGACTGGTGACCATGAAAATCTATTCCTCCAAGTTTCATAAAACTAAGATAGAATGACATCCAAAATTCCAATCAGGTTTTATGACCTTTATTAATTTATCAGCATTTGTCAGTTATTCAACTGAATCTACATTAAAAGATAAACATTATAATTATTGATACTTATTCACTAATTATTAATTAAACAAATTAATGGAAATATATTAATTCAAACTTTAAAATATAGGCATAGACAATGACAGAATTATGCAAACATGCAAGGACTAATTTTTGAGAATACTGTTCGAGAAATTATCATTGTGGATTTTTATTTTATACAGATTTCCAGAAGCATTTAATTAAAAGAGTGAAGGATGAATTCCAAAATCTCTAGAAACAGTTTCCTTGCAACTGTTGACTTCATTAAAGCTTTCCATAAAATTAAAGATAGTGTTCCTAGAAAAATAGTAAAGATACGTGAGAGTTTTAGGTAAAGTTTTAATTTTGATCCCAAATGTTGAAATTATCTGAAACAAAATTCAGTATAATTAGTATGAAATTAGCATTTCATATACATTCTTTAATAAAACAATATTTTGCTCTTTAAAATGATGTATTTTCAATTTTGCCTTCATATTCAAACTTATGCATAAGTAACTAAAGAAAATAATGGATACAGCAGTGATTGAAGCAATGAAAACCCATAAAAAATGAAGTGCCATTTTCTCATATCAGACTCTTGAAAATTAGAAAGTTGGCTAATATTCATTTTTGGTGTCTATGCAGAAATATGAACTTTAATAAGTGATTTGTGTTGCTTTGTTTTTATTCTGGTTTTGACAAGAATGTAATCCATAGCACACTGTTTAATTGCCACTTGGCAATACCTGATCCATGAATTCATTGCTAGTAATATAATCTGCCACTATCCCAACAAATTAAGCTAACAAAGGACACAGTGAATTCCACTTTTGCACTACCTAAAACTGAAAAGAATATCAATCCATTCAATAGAAAGTTATATATTATTTAGAGAATAATGTGTGTCAATATTTGCTGACTTGCTAATATCTCAAGTATATATAGCTACTGAAAAATTTAAAGCACAGAGCGGTGCCATATATATAATCTTTTTTATGCAAACAGCACAGTTTTTAATCAAATTATTTATTTTTATATTTATTCACGAGTGTGCTCACTTCGTCAGCACATATACTAAAATATATTTATTCACTAGTTCATACAAATTTTTTTATAGGAATAGGCCTAAAAAAAAATATATATATCAGGCAAGGAATTAAAATATGGAAGTTAAAAGATAATGGAGAGAGGTTAAGTTTTACATGCATTTTAATGTTTTAATTTTTAATAAGAGGCATATATTGAACATATTGTTCAAATAAGTGAAATTATAGCCAAAAAATGAAATATTATTAAGAAATGGAGAAAAAGTGTTTAGTAATGGTATGAATTTTCAATAGGACAAATATATCAGAATGGATTGATAGGTCAATAAGCAAAAAAGAAATATACAGAAGTCATGAGCCTGGAGCAATGCCCTTTTTCTATTTGATTCCCTGTTAGGAAAAGCATGTTTGTTTCCCGTTGCTTTATTTCATGTGCACCTATTTTCATCACTATCCCTGGATTCTTGGCTCACCCCTAATTCCTCTCCATGGGGGTCCCTAATTGGTGGCTGACAAGTGGTTGGAGCTTACATGGCAAATGTCTCAAGACTCAGGAATCACTCATTTCCCTCCGTTATTACACACTAGCGGTGAGGCGGAACACCCATACAAGAGGTCTGTTCCGCAGACTAAACTTTCCCCACATGTTGTGGTAAATAAATATTTTTTAAAATGCCAAAATATGGAGGCTTGAAGTCTCAACAATATCAGGGCATAATGGCTAAAATATAAGGAAATGCAGTCCAGTTTCCAGTGTAAAGCAAAAGCTGAAATGTTCTGGTGTTAAAAATGTAGCCGAATGTTATACGAAAAAGTTTGTTCAGTATATATTTACTGACTATAAATCAAACATGCTCAACTGTAGAATTATTCTTATTAATAGTATCCTGTTTTTTTCTATACTTGAATTAATTAAAAATATCTGCCAAGGCTCGAAGCACTGTTTCTGAATTCAGAGTATCAGTGAGTGCATGCAATTAGTAGAGGAAAAGAGGAAACAAGGTAGCTAGTTTAACTACATTCCAACTTGTCCTTTTTTCTTTTTATTGTAGCCTATAGAGTCAATTCAGAACTCCTTAACAAATCCAAAGCTAATTTTGGTAAAACTGGAATTTACAAAAATCTAGAAGTCTGTTGTGTACAATCTTTAAAATGTAATTAATCCTACGGTGAGTGCTGTGAATTGTGTAAGATTGATGAATCACAGACCTGTACCCCTGAAACAAATGATACATTATATGTTAAAAAAAAGAAGATAGTAGGAAGGGTAATATGAAGGGGGGGGAAATCGGAGGGGGAGACGAACCATGAGAGACGATGGACTCTGAGGAACAAACTGAGGGTTCTAGAGGGGAGGGGGGTGGGGGGATGGGGCAGCCTGGTGATGGGTATTAAAGAGGGCACGTTCTGCATGGAGCACTGGGTGTTATATGCAAACAATGAATCATGGAACACTACATAAAAAACTAATGATGTAATGTATGGTGATTAACATAACATAATAAAGTTAAATTTAAAAACAAAGAACTAAAAAAAAAAATGTAATTAATCCTAACCATCCATTCAGTGCCTCACTCTACCTACTAGGCCAGTAGAGTTTGTTCATATCATCTGAGCCTAGATTGTACTTTCTATATCTGACAATGTGGCAAAGATGACTGGAAACCAATACATTTTATGAGGCTCCTAACAGTGTGGCTCAGGCAAGAATTAACTTTCCCAAGTCCCTCCTATGCACCATCTAGTTGGGCTGTATGACTATTCTTACCAAAGGTATGTGAGATACAGTTAAGTTTGTCACTGCTAGTCTAGGCTTTTCAAAGAGGGACCCCCTTAAGCTAATTCCTTTGAATTGCCTTATAGGGAGGATACAGTAGTGAAACTGTGAAGGAGGATGGAGACACAGATGGAAAGATCCTAGGTCTCTGAATTACCATGGAAGAAAATCTCTTACCAATTGATGTAATAGCCTACATCATTATGTGAGCCAGAAATAGAATCCTTTGAGTTTTGCCATTACAATTCGAAGGTTTGTTTATTAAAACAGCGAATGTTACTCTAAGTAATACACATACAAGTTTTACATTTAAAATATAATGCATTCATTTTTATTTTGACTCATATCTTATTTCTGAATTCTGCTTTAGGGAATATAAATTTAACACACATGCATACATGCACACACACATAATTTTTTTTCCTCAGTAGAACAAGGATAAATGGTATCTTGGAAATTGAATGACATAGTAATTTTCAAACTTATTATTATGTAATTTCTTCTATGTTTTCCACTATTAGTAAACCTGGGATTTTGAAATTTTGGAGAAATATACCTCCTTCAAAACCAGAATTTGGAGGCGGGGTCAAATTTTTTTTCTTTATGTCTATAATCATAGATGATGAGGATGAGGAAAGTTCATAAAACACAATTTATTTCATGGTTCTGTTAGTCATGGCAAGTGTCATTATTTGTTTAGTATCTTTTTCATTTAAAAACAAAAATAAGATAAAATAGCAAAATTTATCCAAGAAAGAAATAGAGATGTCCATTGTCTCCTTGTCAAATTGACATGTGGTGGTATTGATCTGCTTTGTGCAAAGGTCCCAGGGGAGAGGACATGCTAAATAAGGGAGGGCCTGTAATATTCATTAAATGAAGCCAATCATAAACCCACAAGGATTATTTTTAAAACTTTGAAACAGATATCTTAGGAAGTCAACATTTTCTTCTTCAAACAGTCTGTTGTAATGATTTATGATTCTAATGGTATTTCATTTCATTATGTATGAAATCAACACAACATATAGAATTTACAAAAAAAAAAAAAAGGTCTCTGTGGCTCTTACCTGTATATGTATGCACTTTGTGGAGAAGATTTAGAGCAAACAGCATTGTGTTCTGAAAGCCACTAAAATCACCGATGAAGGGAACTTTATCTCCACTAACAAGCATTCGTCTTGGAAGCTCCTTCTGGAATTCATATGTTCTAATTAAGGTTGTAGGAAAGCATGGTGGAGCTAAATAATCCACAAATAAAGCCCAGCTTCTTGCAAAATCAGCTTCTTGTTTAGAATAATATTTTAATCTAATAGACAAGTGGGGAAAAGTATGCATTTTGAATTAGTCTACTCAGAATTTTACCAACTCAATTTTCAAAACAGATAATTTGTTCAAAATGACTTTATTCTACTTTTTAGAATATAGATTATAGAGACTTGGTGTTGATTTTACCACCTAGATTTGAAAATTTGAAGAGATGTTATTACAATTTTAAATTCGGAAATTACCATCTCAGAACATGTGTTTTTAATCATATTTTTCCCTTTTCATAAAGCATTTACATTACTCACATAAACTGAAATGTGACCAAGTTTCATTATTTTAAAATGTAAAGATGGGGTGCCTGGGTGGCTCAGTTGGTTGAGCCTCCAACTCTTGATTTCAGCTCATGTCATGATCTCAGGGTCATGGGATCAAGCCCTGCATCAAGCTCCACACTCAGCGGGCAGTCTGCTTGGGATTCTCCTTTTCTCTCTCTCTGTCTCCCCACCCCTCATTATTTCTAAAATAAGTAAGTAAGTAAGTAAATAAATAAATAAAATGTAAAGGTAAAAGTCAAAGAAAATTGGCAAAATTTCTGCTGAATTTAGATATCTCCTAAAGAACACATAATTTTCATTTCAGGCAACCACTAAAAATGAAGTAACAGAATTTTTCTTGCTTTTTAGGTAGCTTGGTATTTTATTTCTGCTGATATATACTAGAAAGCTAATTTTTCTTTCTTTTTTCAGGTGTACAATGTAATGATTTGATATTTGTGTATATTGTGAAATGATCCCCACAGATCTAATTAACATTTGTTACGAAACATAGTTACAAAATTTTTTCTTGTGATGAGATTAAGATTCACTCTCCTAGAAACTTTCAAATATGCAGTACAGTATTATTATTAACTACAATGTATTATTATTAACTACAATGTATTTATTATTATTATTATATTATTATTAACTACAATGACTATGCTATACATTACATCCCCATGAACTACGCATAACTGGAAATTTATACATTTTGATCCCCTTCGCCCATTTCACTCAGCACCTCTCTCTATATATATATATATGCCATTATATATGATACCACTATAATATATATGATAATATTACATATTTTTATCCATTCATGCATTGATGAATACTTAGATTGTTTCCATGTTCAAGCTATTGTAAATAATACCACAATGAACATGTGTATCTTTTCAGATTAGCGTTTTCATTTTCTTCAGAAAAATACCTAGTTATGGAATTGCTGGATCACGTGGTAGTTCTATTTTTAATTTTTTGAGGAATCTTTACACTGTTTTCCATGATAGTTGCAACAATTTATATTCCTGCTTTCTCTTCTTACTGAGAAAGAAATTTTAATTTAAATTTTTAGTAATTTTATCTATTTTATTTTATTTATTTATTTATTTTATTGAGAGAGAGAGAAAGAGAGAGAGAGCACTTGCAGGATGGGGGAGGGACAGAGGGAGAGGGAGAGAGAGAATTTTAAGCAGACTCCTTACCCAGTGTGGAGCCTGATATGGGTCTTGATCTCACCAGGCTTAGATCATGACCTGAGTTCAAATTAAGAGTCAGACACTTAACTGACTGAGCCACCCAGGCACCCTTTTATGTATGTGTATACATTATTCTCTACCGGGGTGATACATATTTGCTTGCTATTTTGAACCATGCTTGTTCCTTCTGAAACATTTTACACGCTATTTCTTGCTCATCTTGCCCTATGTCCTTCAAGTCTTATTATGGAAGTTTTATGGTTTGTTACATTCCTCCTGGAATTGCTCAAAGTAATATAGACATCAGGGTCTAGGTATTATGGATTCAGAAAGTAACTGGAACACATCCCCTGGTTAACATCTGTGAAAGAAACATACCTGTATATACATGGTTCATATAGAGCTATGGGAGTATAGAGGATGAAATAACTAACCTGCCCTTGATTATAGAAAAATTGGTTGGCCCTCCATGCTCTTATCAAATCATGCCCAACTTTCAAATTCAAGAAGGAGAAAACATGAATACATAAGTTTATTCAGTAAGGGTCACACAATTTTAATAATAGCACAACTAGGCATTGTGTGCCTAACCCGAAGGCCACAAGCTTTAGTTTGAGTTCCATAGTTTCAGCTCTTATATTTAGGTCTATAATGTATTTTGAGTTAATTTTGTTGTTTTAGGAGACAAACTTCATTCATTGCATGTGGATTACCAGTTCCACCAGCACCATTTGTTGAAAAACTCTTCTTTACCCATCAAGTTGTCTTACACCTTTGTTGAAAATCAACTTTTGTTTCTGGACCCCAATTCTATTCTATTGATCCATATGTCTACTATCATGTATTAACACTCTGTCTTGACTACTGTACTTTTGTAGTAAGAGATTAACAGTGATTGCACCAAATCTGTAAGTAAATTTAGGGAGTGTTGCCATTTAAACAATATTACGTTTTCCAGTCCATGAACACAAGATTTTCCTTTAAACATTTCTTTCACTTCTTTCAAAAATATCTTGTATTTTTCAGTGTATCCAAGTTTTAAATTTCCTTTGCTAACTTTATTCCTATATATTTTATTTTTCCTGATGCTGTTGTAAATGTTTCTGTTTTCTTAGTTTTATTTTAGGATTTTTTTATTGCTACCACATAGAAACACAATTAATTTTTGTATGTTGACCTTGTATGCTGCTAGGTTGAAGAACTCATGTTAATTATAATATTTTTAGTGGCTTTCTTAGAGAGAAAGTATTATTTCTTCTCTTTCTATCTAGATTATTTCATTTCTTTTTACTGACTAATTTCCCTGGCTTGAACCTCCAGTGCAATCTTGAATAGATGTGGTAAGAATGGGCAACCTTGTCTTGTTTTTCATTTTAAGGGAAAAGCATTCAGTCTTTCACCATACGATGTTAACTGTAGGTTTTTCTAGATGCACTTTAACAAGATGAGAAAATTTTCTTCTATTCCTAGTTTTTTTTTGAATGTTGTTACCGTAAAAGAGTGTTATCAAATGCTTTTTCTATGTCTACTGTGATGATTTTGTGATTTTTGTCCCTTATTCCATTAATATGGTGTATTATATTGATTATCAAATACTAAACCAACTTTGCATTCTTAGAATAAATCCCATATGGTCATGGTTTATGGTCTTTTTTATATGTGGCTAGATTCTGTTTATTGGCATTACATTGAGGATTTTTGTGTCTATATTCATAAGAAATGTTGGCATGTAGTTTTTGTGTAATGTTTTCGGTTTTGCTATCAGAGTAATATTGCCAGTTTGCTATCTGTTCTTATGTCTTATGTCTTTGTCCTCTTTTTCTTCATTGCTGTCTTCTTTTGTGCTAAATGGATATTTTTCTAGTGTAAATGTTTATTCCCTGTGCTTTTTTTCTATCATCTCTCTCTAATCTATCTACATTATAATTTCTTAACTCTTCCTCCTCACTGATGAGATACAATTACTATCCACCTTAAAACAATGTATTAATATTAATAGTAACTTATTCTAACCATTTACATAAATTTTCCTGCAATAGAGTTCCATTCCCACTCTCCTGCAGGTCTGCGAAGCTCTCTTCATCTTTCTTCATCCTTTTTTCTTTTTGTTTCTCACACTGGGTAATCTCAATTTACCTATTTTCAAATTTATGGATTCTTTCTTTTGCCAGCTTAAGTCTGCTTTTGAATCCCTCAAGTGGATTATTTATTTTTGCTATTATAATTTTCAACTGCAGAATTTCTATTTTTTTCTATAAGTTCTATCTCTTTATTCATAATCTCTACTTAGGAAAATATTGCTGTCGATTCATACTTTCCTTAAATTCTTTAGACACAATTTTTTAAAAAAATTTTTAAACATGCTTATAAGTGATTCAAAAATTTTGTCCATCATCTGAACTCAGAGGAACAATTCCTATGACTGATTATCTCTGTGTGTCTGTATGGGCGGGAGGGGGGGGCATGCATGCACTATTTTCTCTGTTCTTTGCACCTCTCTCTCTCTTTTTTTAACAATGGACAATTCAGACACTATAAAGTGGAAATTCTAAAAATCAGATGCCCACCCTTGCCAGGGTTTGTTGTTGTTTGGTTTTCTTATCATTATTTATTGATTGATTTGCCTGGACAAATTCTGTTATTCATTCTGTGTTCTCTGTAGTGAGTCATCACTGAAGTCCCTGCTCAGAAGCTTAATGGTCCGCTAATGATTAAAGATTTTCTTAAATTCCTTGAACCAATGAGTCTTCCACCTTTTGCTAAAGAGCTCTATGTATGTGTTGGGGTATACCTTCAGTGCTAAGGCCTTTTACAATTTTTCTCAAGCCTTTACTTCCTATTTATTCAGGGTCTCCAGGTAGCCAGGGGTGAGACATTGGGGTCCTCTCAGCTCTTGCCTGGGTATGACCTCAGTTCTGTTCATGTTTGTGGGTCCTAGAAAAAGACAAATTCTCTGTAGACAGAGTAACAAGTAGCCACCAAACCATTTTTAGACAGACTTTGATCCATCACCAAAAACTTGCTTCAGTGACCAGGTTTTTCCAAGCATCCAATAAGTGGCATGCCCTCATTTCCAAAAGTCAGCCAGTCAGGAATGGACTCCCTGCATAACTATGCCTCTGATGCCAAATGAAAACTGTCTCCCCTAAGTAGCCCTCTTATACTGATGACTCAACCCACTTAAATGCCTAAAAATCTACCAGTCTCTGAACTCTGCATCTCCTAATAACCCATCTCAAGATGAGAAGAGTGCTCTGCTCAGTGATACTGTGCATGACAATGTAACTTTCCCTTCCTAGAATTGCAATAAATTCAGCTTTGTTGTTTTATTTCAGATACTGAGGGCTGATCTCATCATCCTTTGAGAGTTGCTATGAAAAATGCTATTTTTCAGAGGAATTTAGCTTTGCATGTCATTGGGAAAGTCTACAAAAAAAATAATATTTTATAAACTACTTTCTATAAACTATAATGACTTGATCTCAGTTCCACTTTTGATGTTGGCGACTTCTGTTTACTCCGTTGGCTGATAATCTCACCTCTCTTTGGCAGTGGTCAGAATCAAGCAGTTGAGTCACAGCAAAAAGATATTGTGATGGCTACAATCCTAATTCATCTCACAGACACGCCAAGAGGATGAACTCTTCTGTTGACCAATATAAAAATTAGCCTTTGAAGCACTATTAAGAAATAAAATATACAAAGCAATGTAAGTTTCCTGACTCTGATTTGTTTATCTTCCCTGGATATGCAGTCTGTGGTTTCAACAGTACTTGATCAACAAGAAGCCCTCAAACATGAGTGCCTATATTTTTTGTGTACTTTAAACCAGTCACCGATTCTTTAGTTCCTTATACTGCATGTCTCACTCTGGGTGACAGATACCGCCCCCAATACAGTGTCATTCACTTCCATACCAAGTCATGCTGTCTTATTCGATCTCATTTGCTATAAAATGGGGAGAGTTCTGAAATTTTAGCTAACTGACATGGTAACCAAGATGGACACTCCCCTCCAAATATGTGTTAGCCAAGCTATTTTTTCTGATCAAAGTGATGCAGAGATCCTATAATTATTTGCCATCACATCCTTTTTGTCTACAGACACCAGTTTTTGTTAAAACGGCCTTAAAAAAATCTTCTTGTACTTCTGAATTCACTTTGTTTTATTGCTGTCTTGTGGTACAAACATACTTTTCTTCATATTTTCCCCTGCTGCTTATAACATAGTTTTGGGCTTTATCCAGTAAAACATTTTCCTGTCAGATTTCTCTTTATCGTAATACATCCTCATGTTTGACATATTAGTGAATAGGTAAATTGAAAAAGACTTCAATGAAAAAGATAGTGTAAGATGGAAAGATTGTTACCATATTAAAACAAAATCATTTTATTTTATTTTATTTTTAGAAAAAGAGTGTGAGCAGGCAGGGAGAAGCAGAGGGAGACAGAGAGAGAATCCCAATCAGGCTCCACGCTCAACATGGGGCCCAACATGGGGCTCAATCTCATGACGCTGAGATCATGACCTGAGCAGAAATCAAGAGTCAGATGCTTAACTAACTGAGCCACCCAGGTGCCCCCAAACAAAATAACTTTAGATCCATTCTTACCTATTTTGAAAATTTTTATGAGCAACCTCCAAAGATGAGACATGTGCAGCCCATAAGTACTCCAACAGGTCATCAAAGCTACTAGAATGTGATTTTATGTGCTGTCAAAGACAAAAAATGTTACTGATATCTAGGCAGTTATAACAATCTCTCTTCTTGAAATTCAATTCTATTTACAAATATAATTTTTCAACATTTTAATGAGGGGAAAACATTTTTTTTCTAAGAGTTAAGGTATGAAAGATTTAATGCTAAACACTCCGTAAAGAGCTTAATATCAAGCATTTTAATTACAAGTCATACTGAATCCCTATGAACGGAATAAACCATGTGTTTTTAGAAATGTTCAGGATTTTACACTGTTCAGAACCAGACCTTTAGTGTTTTATGCATTTGGTTTTCTCTTGCCATGCAATGAATTTTCCACCAACTGTTAAGGGTAAGAGTGTTTTATCTAAACATATGCAATTTAATGAACAAGTTCTCTAAAGGAAAACCTAATCTTTAGTCATGTACTCTTTCACCCATGACACATTACTTTGAACATCAATATTTGATTCTGACTGTCAAATACTAATTCAGTCAACTCATATGTGATTTGTTTATCAAGACAGTTGAAATAAGCTGCTCAAATTCACTACAACATATTACACAATTGTATTTCTATACTGGTTATTGCTCAGTTGACCTGAAATTATGATGAGCTAGGATAATTCATGCACTGTTAAGTCATAATTTCTCTGGGCTCACGTGTGTGTATATAATTTATTTGGTATGAGAATAGTAGATAGCGTGGCCTCGATAGAGTATTGGTAATGAGGATGCTAATGAGGTATGATGTCAAGCAGCAATTCACTCATACTAATACTGTTGTCACCACAATATTTTCATATTAGCAATTTTGTTCCTTAGGAACAATTGCTCAATGTATAAAAAGAAATCTACATTAAGTGATATTCAAAAATTATCTGGCTACCCTTGAAGAGTATTAATTAAAACACTTAAAAAAAAACCTGGTAAAATTCATTCCACTTTTTCATTGCTTCTGGAAATGATGATTGGCAGTTAGAAACACTGTAACAAAAATTCATCTGATCCTTGGATGGTGGCAGAAAGGTGACATTATCTGATGATATCCCCATTATGCCAGAATCAATTGCAGCAAGGAAGGGCATTGCAGAGAGATAATAATTAAGGTCTGTATAAACAAAAAGTTATTAATATTGTTAACACACAAAAGAAGTTGTTTTCAAAGTAAAGGAATCTATCTAAAAGTAAGCCTAAAGATCTAGAAAGGTGGTAAAACTTAAGTGGTAATTTTGGGAACTTTGGAAATTTTATCAGAAATTTCCCTTAGTGTTATATGCAACTTGAATATGCTTCTCTTAAAAACCCTATTCTCATAAAGCAAAATGGATTTATCTTGTAGATTTATTATTTTAAATCACAGATAATAATTGCACTGGAATTTAAAAATACAAATTAAATTCTAAGGCATAGTAAGTGAAAAATTTAGAAATTAGTAACAGAATTAACAAATGAGAGTTTAAATAAAAACTCAAAACAAAAAAATTAGCAGCAGAATTCTATACTTTTCTAAGTTTTTACTTTAAATCTGAAAATCTGATGTAGTTTAAAATATTTAATCTAGAGATTTCTCTTGTTAACAAGGTTTTTTATTTGATAACGTAACACAAATTCTTATTTCTGTCTTATGTATTTAAACCAAGTTTTGAGGTTACCAATTTTCCCTAATTGTTATTTTTATAATTGGATAAACTAATCAGTAAATTAAAAAAATATCTATCTCAAGACTCATTTTCAAAACACCCAGATTTGGGTCAAACAAATGTTTTTTGTAAAAGCAATGATTCCGGTTTTTGTTTTTGTTTCTCTAATCAGGATCCTAGGTTCAATTGATTTTTTGTGGAAAGGTCATCAATTTGAGGTTTTACTGTCACATTGAACTCACCAGCCCACCAACTGTCCACAGAGATACAGAGATGATCCCCAGACTTAAGGCCACAATCTGTACTTCGGGTCGGATCAGCTAATCTGCCTAAAAGAGAGGAAATACAGAGTTGGATTTACTAGACCCCTTCCTAAACTGTGGATACAAAACGTAACTAGATATAATATGTTTACAGGAATAAAGAATTGTGTCAGCTTTCCCATCATTGTCTTTCCTTCACTTCATGACTTTCTGCTTCCCGTCTCTCATTCATAATTTTTCCTTTTCCTTAACATCCCTACAATGCTCTATTCTCTCTCGAAGGCCATATTTTTTTAGTCTCTGTAGTCTGTGTGTCTTCTATTTACTAACTACTCTTTATCTTCAATATTAGGGAGTGAATATTCATGTATAGTAAACAAGATCCAGGCTCTATTTGCTTAAAATCAAATCCTTTTTCATTGCTTACCTGCCTACTGTTTGACCCTGAATAAATAACTTCTGCAAGCCTCAGTTTTCTCATGTACATACTGGAGAGACTAGCAATAATCACTTCACAGAGGTTCAGGGTTGTTAAGTCAAGAAGGGTGCAGAAAGTGCTCAGCTCAGAGAACATGTGCTTCTGTAAATATTAGCCATTATTCTATTTTTATCTCTTTTCTTTTTGTCATCCTCTCTCATCTTCTACTTTCAAAACATCCCTTTCTCTTTCTTTCTCACTTGAGGTTTTGTACCTTCTGCATATACTCCCTGCATCTCCCTTCAACTATCTCTGACGCTCAGCCCATCTCTTCCCTGTTTCCACCATTTTCATACTGGCCTATTCTCTTTTCTCCTGCTAACTTTCCCTTTTCTCTGGCTACCTCCTCACACTGTTTTGGCTCTTCACTTGCCACCGCAGCCTCTCTCTTCCCCAGTCCTTGCTCACCTACTGGGTACCTCTCTTTCTTTTCTCCCAGTGCTCTTCTGCAACATTCACTTATTCTTCTTTCCCCTTCCTTCCCTATTATTATTTCTTCTCACCAGTTCTGTTTCTCATGAACTTCCTTTGTTTTCCTTTTACTTTCTCATCCTGGTTTCTCATTTGGCTCTTCTTTTACCTGCTTACCCTTCGGTGGGCAAGAGGAAAGACCTTGGTAGTTCTGTTAATACATGGAAATTTCTAAAAATTGTTATTCCTCTTTTGAACTGGAATAATATCCAAGTATGTGCAACATACCTCTCCTGGTTCTTAGGTTTTGCCTCAATTGGGAGTGGTTTGAAATCTGTTTCTAAGACTGTCTTTTTAAAACCACTCGGTATCTGAGGATGTTTGCCCATGATGCTAACCTAAGGATTTCCTTATGTTGCTAACTTCCTTGTCTTCTCCTCCAAATACTCAACTGTGTTCCAGTTCCATTTTTATCAAATTCCCACAGAACTCCTTTATTAGTGACTCCACATCACCTCCAACTGCACATGCCTGGGACTGAGCCCTTGATTTTGACAGTCAAGGAAGATTGCATCCTGAACTTTCTGTTCTTTGTCAGCAGAGTTTCACTGTTCTCCTGGACATCTTCAGCACTTACCCCTTCTTTACAGCCAAGCTGTGCCTGCTTACTGCTGTTTTATCTTCTGAATAAATTTTTGTCCTTGTCTTCCCATGGCAAGAAATACATCATTCTCAATAACCTTGACCAAAATTGTTTTGTCACCCCCATTTTCCCAGAGCAAAATTAATGTTTATATTTGTTATTATTCAAATCCAAATTTTTGCTGTGAATTTACCATATTTTCCAATTATATTATTTCTGTAGCATACATTATGTATCTCCCATCCTCCCAACATTTCCCTCTCTTTTTGTCTTTTGCTCTCACAAAAACCACACTAATTCCAAACTCTGTCCTTTAGTTTATTCTATTTCTTTCTTCATGGATTACTTTTTTCCTTAAAGTCCATCAGTGTTTTACCTTTTTTTCAGGATTTCCTTCAAATCTTACTCTATTCCTAGATTATCCCAGCTCACAACATTCACTTTATTCTAGCATTTAATGATTTGGCTCTTTCTTGTCTTATGGTTGTATCATTTCTAACTCTCCTTTTTTTTTGTCTGTCTGATTTTTCTTTTTCTTTTTTTAATTTAAATTCAATTAGCCAATGTATAGTACACCATTAGTTTATGATATAATGTTCAACGATTCATTAGTTACGTATGACACCCAGTGCTCATCACATCACGTGCCCTCCTTAATGCCTTCTTAACCATATTGTAAGTGCTTTGAGAAGGAAGCAATGACATTTACTATCAATTTCTTGTATACTTGCCATAGTCTTCCCTTTTTTCATCTATTTTTCTCTTTGGTGTCACTGCCTTATCCTGACTCAGACTCCCAGTATTCTCTTCCCAATTCAAACATTATTCTAATTAAAATTTTGGCTAACCAATAAAAAAGAATGAATACTGACAAGGCAACTAGACAGATGAATCTCCAAATAATCATGACAACTGAAATAAAACAGACTAAAAAAAAGCTCCCAATTGTCTATATGGAAATTCTAGATAATGCTGTCTAATTTGCAGTGATAGAAAGCAGATCAGTAGTTGGTTCCTGGTGAAGTTGAGGAGTGAGGGGCATGAGAAGTTAGGGGAGAGGAAAGGGCTAGGAGAGACTAGAATAGGGAAGTTCCTGAAGATGAGAATACAAAGGGGAAAAGAAAACTTTTAGAATGACATATATGTCCATTATGTGTGGTGATGGGTTCAAGGCTATGGACATACATCAAACTTACCAAAAATTACATTTTTAAGTATGCTGTTTAATTGTATGTTTATTGTATATAAATAAAACTTTATTTTTTAAAAAACCTCTGCTAAGCAATCTAGAAGCACTTAAAATGTTTAAATATTTTGTAAGCATTAGATGCTTGTTACTAAACTAAACCATCTTGCTTAAGAGCCCAATTAAAACACCCCAGTCTGATTTTAAGACATTTCTTTAACTGACGCTTGTCGACCTTCTTAAATTTACCACCCAGTACTCTTTCATATTCTAGTTCTCCTGCCAATGTGGTAGTCTTCTTCCAGTTCAACCTGCTATCATTGTCATCTTTGTAATTTGTATTCCAACAATTATATTCTAGCAATGTCTCCATCAAGTTCTTAGGCCCTGCTTTCTTTCCATGATATTCTCAGCCCATGATTGTCACTCTTTCCTGAGCTACTCTTGTACTTACAGTCTTTATCTTTTTTTTTTTTTTTGAGACTTAACATAGTGTTGGTGAAATACTTTTATGGGCTATTTTCATAATTTGTAATTCTGTTCTGGTTTTCTCTAGTTATATTATGAAGTTTAACTCAATTAAATACTAAGTAAAAGCAGCCACTTAAAAAAGAGCAGAATCCAATTTATTGTATTCTAAAATGAAAATGAAATTTTGAAAGTACCCTATCCAATATTCTACTTTGCTATTCATTTATTACTGGACCCAGGGCTGAAAACTTTCCTAGCAGTGTGTGCACCCCTTGGGGGAATTGGTTATTGTTTCCGGTGGACCTTATGTTTAGGCTCCTCCAGAACCGTGTCTCAGGAGTTCAAATATTCTTCTTTTCCATACGAAGGACAGTCTAAGAATGGGGATTATACTGGATGTCCAGAGATTCCCCGACAAGCTTGGTTGTAACACTAGCTTAGAATGTCATCACAGGCCAGACCGGCATGCTCTTCCCCTGTATTTTCTTTTTTTTTTTTTTTAAGATTTTATTTATTTATTCATGACAGAGAGAGAGAGAGAGGCAGAGGGAGAAGCAGGCTCCCAAGGAGCAGGGAGCCCGATGCGGGACTCGATCCCAGGACCCCGGGATCATGACCTGAGCCGAAGGCAGACGCTTAACCATCTGAGCCACCCAGGCGCCCTTCCCCTGTATTTTCTATAATGCTAACCATTTTCTCATTGATTCCTTTCTTCCAATACTGTTTTCTAGAAGTTGAGAGTGAAGGTCCTTTATTTCTTGAAATCTGTTCAACAAGATAGCTTGGCACTTTTACAATATTTTTGTTCCAAAACAAGTATCTACTTTCATTCCCCAGTGTAGATGCTATTCTAGATAGAAAAAGGTTTTCCCACAGAGGTTTTTTTTCTCCTTTGTCACTCCAATCTATATGACTGTAGCTAATCATATTTAGAACTACAGATAATGTAAATTAATTTTATACACCCATGTGTATCACCTTAACTGTTTTGTTCCTGGATGTACTCTTCAGTGCTTAGAACTAGGCTTGGTACCAATAGCACATCAATTAATAGTTATTGACATGGAATGAACTAGGTGTAATATGCTGTATCTCAGTAACGTGGTAATCACTAGCCATTTGTGGCTATTTAAATTTAAATTAGTTGAAATTAAACAAAATCAAGAATTCAGTGGTGCAAAAGCATTAGCCATTTCAAGTGCTCAGTAGCCACATGTAAGAATATGAGAGCACAGTATGACTGCGGCTGTCATACTGAATAGGGCAAATAGAGAAAATTATCAGCATTGCACACAGTTCTTTTGGACATTTCTGGGTAGAAAAACTCTGCAGGGGGGATTCCATAAATACTTGATAAAGATTAGGCAAGAGATTCTTCAAATAGCTGGAAAAGAAGTAAGAAAGAAAGAGAAAAAAAATCCATTTTCAAAAAGGTGATGTTAAATGTGCAGGTATTATGTCCTAATTAATTCACACTTAAATCAAAGGGTCATTGCAATGAAAAAGAGACATTCTTACCTGTATGATATTGCCATCCATGATGTATAGGCAGTCCCCATAAAATATTTTGTTCATTTTCTGGTGAAAATTTTGCAAAATACTTGGCTGTCTTGTTCAGTAGGATTTTATACATCCCCAGTCTCTCAGGGTAATGCCAGAAGTTAATGATGTACTTCCCATTTTCTATCTTGTAGTCACTGAACTGACCAGGACTCTCTTTCCACAGAGGGGGATACATATCTGAGATATTGGATGTTTTTGCTAAAGAAGCAAAAATACAACAAATTATTACACAGGCCCAGGAAAGATGGAAAGTCATAGTGTTTAGCCTGGAGATTGAGATTATGGCAAGATCTTTATTGGGAAGTAAAGGAGGAAGCTATATTGTTTTCTGCACCTTGACTAATCAACACTTTAAATTACCTTCCGTGGTAGTAAGAAGGTGAGAGAGAAACAAATGCCTTACCAGAGAGATTAGGGTCCCTCCCTTGTTAATCATCTCCCAAATAAAAATTGTTGATTATGTACCAGTCTCTAGAATTTTTAGGAATTTTTAGTAGTAATTTTTTAGTAAGACTTGTTTTTGTCTCTATCTTCTGATCTGTTTCTCATATCAATCATAATAATAAATTGTATGTCTTTCCCAGAGTTACTTGAAATTTAAAAGACAGCTGTTTTGAACCAATTTAATCTCTAATTAGTGGCATTTCAGTCACATAAATTGTTAACTAAACAATTTTAGATAGAATTTGTAAGATATTTTAGTGATATTTGGAACTTCACCAAATCTTTCTGAAATTTTAGTCCATGTGTAAGTCCAGACTTGTATGTCAGAGATGTCAGCCCAAATTTCACGTTAGCAGGATCTGAGCCAAAGGCTTGTGGGCAAGCAGTTGATTTGTGGCTAGAGAGTAAAAGTAAAAGAGGGAGAAAAAAAAAGAAAGGAGGAAAAGTAAATACAAGGAGAGACTGTCAGTTTGCCTTCACTAAAGGTGGGGGGGCCTTAATTGTTGTCTAGGAACTAATGAGGAACACTATTATGGTAGAATCCCTGGCCTTGAGGGATGGAATTGAGAAACATTTTTTTTTAAAGATTTTATTCATTTATTTGAGAGAGAGAGAGAGAGAAAGAGCACAAGTGGAGGGAGCAGCAGTAGGAGAGGGACAAGCAGACTCCCTGCGGAGCCCAAGACAGGGCTGGAGTCCGGGACCCTGAGATCATGACCTGAGTCAAAGGCAGATGCTTAGCTGACTGAGCCACCCAGGCGCCCCAGAGAAGCACTTGTTCTTATCATTCCCTGGTCCAAGGTGACCCAAAGGTAGATGCTCCTGCCATTCTGGTTACACCGATCTGTAGGGTAACTGGATTTTGACAGGCACCTCAGGTAGCAGCCATGGTACAGAAGCCCAGGGCAATAGATAAAAAAATAAAAGTAGATACTGAAGTTAAGCAGCACCACTGCACCTGTGTGAAAGCAGGTCAGAGGTCAGTGTGGAACTGTCCTTGCAGCAGTAGCTACAGTCAGAAGAGAGGCTAAGAGGATTCAGGAGTGAAGCACAGATGTCAGTTCAGAACCCCTACGCTGTAACCTGATCATGAGCCATCATTGGGAATATGCAGACCACGGGCTCAAGCAGACCCAGCCCTTCTCCATATGCATGTGCTGTGTATTTATTATAACCACAGTGAGTTGCCAGGGAATTCTTTATCAGGTGATTAATCCCAAACCTCAGACTTCATTCAGTGGATATTTATTGAACAGTGTCCCTATTCCTGGTGCTGCATCACCACTGGTCTGCCATGGTGAACAAAGTAGGAGAGATGCTTGTCTTTGAGAAGTCGAACAAAGGATTACTGTTGAAAAAATTAATCTTTAATGAACGCAAGGAATTTGAATATGTAGTAGATGAATTTTACCTTCTTTCACCTCATGCCCTGCCCTTCCCTTCAATGTAAAGGTGGGGCTTCTCTCTCTCTGTTGCATGCATGAGCATAGAGAACGATGGGCTGATAGGTCAGTTGTTCTATGTCAGTTCCAAGCCTTATTATTTCAGAGTTCCTTTCCTGTGGTGCAACCTCACTGCATGCCAAGGTGAACACCTGGCCCTCATTGCAACACCCCGTGGAAATTAGGGCATGAGGTGCTGGCACCAGGATGTTCTATGAGTAATGAATGCCTGTTTTCTGATCCAGAGGCACCTTGTTTCCTGTCAAAAATTGTATATACATGAAACAATGAAATATACCATTATATATATATATATATATATATATATATGAATGAAATAATTCTTGGATATAAGGAAGAGATTCTGTAAGGGACAGAGTGCTGATGGGCATAGTGGACATATTAACCAAACCATATGTTAACTGGGCAATATATGAAACTCTACATTTTTTCCTTTAATGGAAGAAAGTGGTTGAAGGTGGTTAAAACAAGTAGCCTAAGTGAGACTTTTGGTTTTTCTTTCCAAGGGGGCAAGAACACGTCTACAGATCCCCAAGTTAGTGTTGGGTTTGTGCAGAAAGAAAACATTAGAAGTTCATTGTTTGTTCTCCTCCTCAGGCTGGAGAACAGGTCAGGGAGTCCCAAGAGCTGGCATAGGGATTGTATGGGCTAAAACATCAAAAGTCTATGGAGGTTATTTTGTTTTTGTTTTTGTTGGTTTTTGGTTATATTTTCTTTCCAGATAGGGAAACAAGTTAAGTAGTTCAAAAAGCTAATGGAGAGGCTTAGGTGGACCGAAAACTATAAATGTGTTACCGTCTTCCCCTGTGAAGGTAAATGTGACCTCTTTACCGTCTTCCCCTGTGACGGTAAATGTGACCTCTTTACCGTCTTCCCCTGTGACGGTAAATGTGCCTTCCTGCTGGCCTGGAGGCCCATTCCCTGTGTCCCACCAATCCCCTGCTTCTTCCCCGCACTGATCTCAGCTGCCTCAAGAATTCGAGGTGGGGCCAAAGTCTCCTTGTCCCTAATAGAACTAAGGGTCCTACATACACTGAGGAACTCCAGAGGCAGGAAGGGATTGAACTCTTTATAGCTCTTTTGGATACTGGAGCCCAAGTCACCATCTTGCTCAGTCCCGTACGAAAAGTGATGCTGAGCAGGGGTGGCCAAAGCCATGGACTCTAGAGTGCAAACCACAGTAACATGCGAGGGAGCAGGAATAAAGAGCTTCTGAGCCAGAGCACTTTCTAGACACCGAGAAGGACACAAATGAAGAACCAATGAGGACAAAATTTTCTCCAACATCTCCAGCCATCACCTCTAGTCTAACCCACCTGCCAATTCCTGTCTCCCTAACTCCCAGGTAGGAGGTAACACAGTGTCCTGCAAGAGTGATTGGATCCCTTGAGATGGTGAATTGAACTGATAACAGATCAGTTTGTAGGAAATTTTTTATCAGAAAATCATTCCTCAGCCTCATATCTAATCTGACAGGTATTTATTGAGTGGTGACTTTTATTTTTTGGTGCTCTATCAGCACTGGCCTGCCATGGTGAACAAGGTAACATGACTGTCTTTGAGATGTTGGCTCACAAACCTCTCAGGAGCTTCCCCTGTGTCCTCTGAATCATACAAGGAGGGCAGGGGGAGGAATCAAAGAGGCAGGCCTCTCCAGGTTGGTAGATGGCAGCTTTCCTAAGCAACGGAAACTTCCATACGAGGCTTGTTTTGGACAGCAGCAAGATGAATGTATTCCTGCACCCACCTACCAAATCTTAAAAATTTATCAAAAGGCCTTAACTGGATTTAATCACATATACCATGTAGGTGTTTTCAATACCACATCCCTATCTCATTGGCAATGTCCTTGGAGTAGTCTCTGGGAGTGGGAAAGGCAAATGGAACCCATACTCCAAGGACAGAGAGATGGAGGTGGGGGTGAGGAGTCTCTGAGGGCCAGAATCCAACTCGTGGGTCAACTGGCAATTACATCTTTTTTTTTTTTCACATCTTTTCGATGTGTTGCCCCAACAGATGTTTAACAAAGGATTATTATAAAAATATAATGTCTGAAAAAAGAAGGTAATTTGATTTGTGATAGATGAACTTTACCTTCAATTTGAATTTTTTCAAGTTTTATTGAAGTATAATTGACAAAATTTGTATATATTTAGGATATATAAAGTGATGTCTTGGTACACATATTTATTATAAAATGATTACAACAATCAAGCTGATAGCCCTTCCACCACCTCCCATAGTTACTCCTCATTCTCCTCCTCAAACCACTCAGTGCAAAGATGAAAAGGATGATCTTTATGATGAGCTACTTCTGCTTAATGAAGAGTAAATAATCATCCTGCCATATTTGTAAATAAACTTACCTGTTCATAAACTTATCTGTTGTGTGTGTGTGTGACTGTCTTTGTGTGAAAAATCTAATAACTGTATGGCAAGCACTCTAAGGGACATTTTTGTGTCATCATCATTTTCATCACCTGAGTGTTCATCATGTAGAACATCATGGGTAAGGCTTGTATGGAAGTGCACAGCCTATCCTTACACAGGTATAAGGTGTGTGATATTTAATATAAAATTAATAATGTATTAGTTTTCTTGCTGTTTTGTAACTTTGCTTTTAAAGAATTAAACTATTCTAGAGTATGCCTTTCTTATAATTGGAAAAACTGTGTATCAGCCTATCATCACAGGGAAGTGGTTTTTTAAAAAGTATAACAATGTTTCCAATATTGTATGATGAAAATGACTATAATAGTGCATGTCATAATGATTCATTCACTAGGTACAGGCTAGGCTATCACGAAGAAATTGTATCAATTACATGAGGCTACCATAAAGCAATAATATTGCTTCTTCTTCATTATCAATGCATGAATCATTTATCTGTAAATAAATTTAAATTTCTTTTTCATACTATCTTTCCATTTTTTATATCTAGTGTTAGTAATACATATGACATTGACCGTGTTTTGTATCATAGACAATACTGATGTAGGTACTGACAGACAGATGATTTGTCTTGTAAACAGATGCTGTAAACATATGGTATCAATAAATACAGAACAGTAAATGTAAATGTATTTTCTCTTCCTTATGATTTTCTTAATAACATTTTCTTTTCTCTAGCTTACTTTATTATAAGACTACAGTATTTGTTACATATAACATACAAAATATGTATTAATTTACTGTTCATGTTATCAACAATGCTTCTGGTCAACAGTAGACAATTAGTAATTAAGTTTTTAAGGAGTCAAGTTATATGTGGATTTTTAACCACCCCTAATCCCTATGTGGTTCAAGGGTCAACTGTATGTATACACAACAAAACTGTAACAAAAATTAG